GGGCCCCCCCCCCCCCCCCCGCCGGCCGGCATGCATGCTTGCATATATGCGCATGCTAATAGCCCATGCAGCAGCAAGCAATAAAGCGATGGTTTCCCCGCCACTTTAGCCCACTTCACTTGTGAACGCCATTCATTTGATTGCACCCACGCTCACGCCTATGCCCACGCCCATGCCCGCCGAGCGCATGAGCAATCGTGAGTCGGCGAATGCATGCAGCAACCAACCAAACAACCTTTCTCACAGCCTCTCTCTCACCTCCACTCAGGTGCAGAAGAAGACTCACACAGCTCACCGCGAGCGGAGCAAAGGCAAAACAAAGGAACGTGCGAACTGACCTCGCATCGCATCGTATCGCATCGTATCGTATCGCATCGATTTATACCGGCAAATCATCGATTCACACTCGGCATCATAAAGATGCTGCTGCCAATTCCCCCACTGCCACACACTTAGTTCACTGCCACACTTGGTTCACTCCACAAGCTTTTGCACGCTGCACGCACTGACTGTGAACGCCAGCGTGACCTTAACCCCCCCCCCGCTCGCTCGCGCGCACCCGTAAACGTAAACGCCCTTGTTGTGGAGCGTCCCCCCCCCGAGACTCACGCACTTCGTCCTGACCATGTCGTCCAACGAAAATATCCAACAGCTGGCCTTTGACTTTGTCATTGTTGGCGGAGGCACCGCTGGGCTGGTGTTGGCCAATAGGTGAGTGGGGGTGGGAGTCGCGCAGTCGCGCAGTCGCGCACAACAGAAGCTATATACTCAGCTGACGCCTGCCCGCCTGCCCGCCTGCCTGCCCGCCTGCCCGCCTTTGCTTTGGGACCACGCAGACTTAGCGAGGATGGGAGCAAGCAGGTGGCGGTGGTGGAAGCGGGAGGTAGCGGCAAGGGAAATCCGAGCATCGAAGTGCCCGGAATGGCCGGTGGACCGGGAACATTCATGAGTGCTGCTGATTGGGCCTACTTTGGCGAAGCAGAGGAGCACTTGGGCGGTCGAAAGATCTACTATCCGCGCGGCAAGCTGCTGGGAGGCAGTTCTGCCTTTAATGCGATGATGTGGAACAGGGGCTACAAGGGCGAGGTGGATGCATGGCAAGAGTTGGGCAACGGCGAGGAGCAGCAGCGGGAGCGGGAGCGGTGGAGCTGGCAAAACGTGCTGCAGTACGCCAAAAAGGCAGAGACGCACACTCCGCTAAAGAAGGACCCGCAAGGCGCAAGGCAAGCCGGCTTCAATCCGGATTTCCACGGAACCAATGGTCCTTGTCCCACCACCTACTCCAACCACTACTACCCGCAGCAAGATCGCATCGTACCCACCCTCATCAACCTGGGCGTGCCTCGCTTCGAGCATGGAGGAGATTCAATGGGCGGCAACAATGTCGGTGTGGGCTACACTCCATCCGCACTCTTTCCAGACACGCAAAAGAGGGTGGACAGCGAGTTTGCTTACCTCACCCAGCAAGTCCTCGATCGACCCAATCTAAAAGTTTTGCAGCACTCTCTCGCCACCAAGATTATCTGGACACAGGCCAAGCATGGTCAGGATGTTGTGGCTGAGGCTGTCGAAGTGGAGATGCGCGACGCTGGGGCGGACGAATCGGCACCCAAGCAAAGAGTCATCATCAAGGCGCACAAGGAGGGTGAGCCATTGTGCACTCGATCCATCGTCGCCGCTTACAGATATGCTCGATGCTCACCCATGCACCGCTGTTTCGCCGCCAAGTCATTCTTGCTGGAGGCGTCTTCAACACTCCTCAGCTGCTAGAGCTGTCAGGTGTCGGCGATGCAAAACTCTTGAGCTCTCTAGGCATCGACAGCGTGGTGGACCTGCCAGGCGTAGGCGAAAACTTGAAAGGTGAGCACGGCCGCAAATGCTTTCCGCAGATGGCGTGCGGATGCTGAGCCTCGTGCAATGTTGGCGCGCTTGCCAGATCACCCTTGCTTCCAGTCGCAGTTTCAAATCAAGGGGCCCTACAGTTTGGACAATATCATCCACGACCAAGCCTTTATGGCGGAGCAGTTCCAGCTCTTTGCGACGCAGCAGACTGGCGTTTTCAACTTTGCCATGGACACCACGGCTTATCTTCGCGATGGCCATCTGGAGGTCAGTGTGTGCGCGTCGAGCGCGGCGGGACTGTTGCGCATTGGGGCTAAGATTGTCCCGCACTCATCACAGAATCTGTCGAGCAATTCGACCGAAATCATCCAAAAGGTTACCTCTGACGCCAAGCGAGAGCAAGACGGATCGAGCGGACTGCACTCCACCGTTCGAGACGGCATTTCCACTCAACGATCCCTCATGACCAAAGCGGCATCCGACTGGCCACAGATGGAGCTGTGCGCAGCGCACATTTACATGGATCACACCAAACCGTTGGAGCATCCCGATCCTCGTCCACACGCCAACATTACCGTCTTTACAGTGATTCAACATCCATACTCTCGCGGAAGCGTCCACATCGCTTCGAAAGACGCAGCCCAACATCCTAAAATCGTCACCAACATTCTCAAACATCCAGTCGATCAGCATCGAGCCGTGCTGGCCTTGCAACTGGCTAGGAAATTCGCCAAGACGGAACCGTTCAAGAGCGGTGTGGTCAAGGATTTGGGTATTGGAGAAGACCAACTGCCAGATGATGCGCCTTATGACTTGTGGCTCAAGCACGCCAAGCAGCAGGTGACGACCGAGCGTGAGTCGAGCGCGAATGGAACAGCGCGCGTACATGAGAAGGCCCGCCCCCGATTTTCGTCGATTGACCCCCACACCTCCACCCGCGCCGCTTCCTCCAAACTTTTTTCCCCTCACGCCGCTCAGATCATCCCGTCGGCACCACACCCATGATGTCGCGCTCTCTAGGCGGAGTGTTGGACGAGAATTTGCTGGTGCACGGTACCAAGAACGTCTCGGTCGTCGATGCTTCCATGCTACCTTTGCTCATGAGCGCCCATCCCCAGAGCATCATTTACGGAGTTGCCGAACTCGCAGCGGACCTGATCAAGAGTCGACATGCTTGATTCGCTATTCGCCATTCGCCATTCGCCATTCGCATTCGCCATTCGCATTCGCCATTCGCCATTCGCCATTCACCAATTCGCACGCCTGTCGCTGCAGCAACAGCAGCATGTCAAGCCCGCAATCAAATCAAATGAAAAAAAGAAAGAAAAGAAAAAGAAACTTGTCAAGCATCTTTTGTGTGTTGGCGAGTTAGCGAAGGGGCATCGGATTCTCTTGCCATTGCGCTCGAAGCCGCCCCGATCATCTCGTGCTCGTGCTCGTGCTCGTAGCACGCACGCAGCATTTTCTGAACGCGCCCCCCCGCATGTGGACGCATCTCCTGATCCGCCCACGCACCGTCGCCGACGAGCGGGCCGGGGCGGGGCGCGCGGGGGGACATCGCCAAGCTTTTCTCTCCGTACTGAACCATCCAATGCAAAAGTCCGTTGTGGCCAAGGCGA